GGCTGTGATTTGCCAAGCCAGAGGATGGCTGCCTGGGGTTGGGTGAGATGGGGTAATGTCGTTGTACTAGTTGGATCTTCTTAAGATAACACAGAGCCATGAGGGGGTATTTCTCAACAAGTGTGTGGGAATATAATTAGACCACCCCACAGATGTGTTATACAATAGAAAAGCTGAGAAATTTCCTTAAGAAATGTTTTTTCTGTCTTTTTATTAATTAACTATTTTTCTTACATCATTGTGGCCCCTGTAGTTCTCCTGCCACCAGATCACCTGTGATGTTTACTAATAAAAGTTGTACCTATTAATGTAAAGATTTAATTGGTGAGAAATATTCTATTTTGATAAGGCAGTTCTGGGCAAGGCAAGGCATGTTAGGCTTCTGATGTTAGTCTTAATTTTACTTTTGTTGTTCTGTACTCTTGCAAACAAATAGTAGCAATAGTATTTTGAAAAGTGAAAATTTCTCAAACATTTAAGCAGATATTAAACAGAATGTTTGAGGCAAAATGCTAAACAAAACATGAATGCCTTATAAAAAGAGAGAGAAATCACATGAGAAATATTGAAATTAGGACATGTTGTATTAAAAAAGTTAGAGTAAGAAATTCAGAGCAAATGAGAAAGAAGTACTCTACCCAGGTCTGGAGTAAAATTCAGCTTTGATGCCATATTTCTTTTGAAACAGACTCTTTCTTGTGGAGTAGTTACTTTATTAAGTTAGCTGTTATAATAAGCTTCTATTTTTAATCTCAAAATAATCTGTTGAAAAGTCATGATAATTTACATTGGTTAATTGCCCAGAGGAGAGCCTGACTATTCAGGTCCTAGGATATATTAAGACTACACAGGCTGCCTTTATAAAGGAGGCCGAAGTCTAATAGCCTAACTAGTTGATGTTTTACTTCTTTCTTCCATAATGCAGTGCAGGCAACAAGATGGCTCTTGTTCATGAAATTATTCACTTTATTTCCATCTTGTTGCTTCACTATCTTCTAGGGTGCACCGGGAACAATCTGTGAGTTTAAGCCAATAAAAAAGGAACAGACCCAAGGGGTAAGGCAAGGAGGTCTTTCTTCAATGGGAGAGGTGAAGGAAAATTGGAAAATTGTTTCATCTCAAGATCCCTATTTAATCACATCTGTAAAGTTTCTCAGGGAACATAACATATTCCAGGTTCCAATCATTAGGCTGTGTACATTTGCAGTGGTCAGGGGTTGGGGAGGCATTATTCTGCCTGCCATCTTTAATTTGCCTTTCTTGTCTTGTGGTCCTGCCAAACCTCATTCTTCTTATTATCTTATTTCCAGCCATGGTACCTTAAAAAGCTTAGCCTATACTTAGTCTCTTCAGCCTTTTTTGGACACAGTAACCTGATTTTAGTAACTCACCTCTTGCATTTTTCTATCTAACCAAGTTGTCATCTTTATACTCCAAAGCTAACAGTTGATATGCCCAAGTCCATAACTGAAATCTCAGTTTCACTAGGCCAAAGGGCAACTTTGCCCAAAATAAGCCTCCAGAGAAACAGTTCTGCCACATACTCTGAGCACCATGGCTGATTCCCTGCTCTCTGAGTGTCAGACCAGCAAAGGAATTCCCAAGCTGTGCTTTTTCCTGCTGCCTAAGACTCACTCTTCTGCCACTGGCTCCTCCTGTCTGCTCAGCCACCAATCTTGAAGGGACTTCCATGAAGAAGCGAGTCAGATTTTGAGAAACCCAGCATTTCTCAAAATTTGTTGCACTTTAGGATTACCTGAGGGTCTAATAAATCTGCATCTCCAGGCTGCACCCCATATCAACTGAATCAGAATCTGTGGGCGGTGGAAACTGTCATCAGCATTTTTTAAAAAAAAAACTGGCATGCAAGATCAAAAGCAAGCAAACCAGAAACTTGCTGTTTAAATGTCCCTTGCCTATCAGTAGCAGCAGAATCCCCCAGGAGCTGGTTAGAAACACAGATAGTGAGTCTCCTATCCAGTCCTCCTGGATTAGAATCGGATTCTGATAAATCCTCCAAGTGGTTTTGCAAAGCTCTGATCTAGCTCATCATACTCTAAGGCCTCACTCTGAAAATTTTCATAAATCGTAATCATTCATCAAATGTTTTTTCTCTTTGTTGAAAAATATTATAGTATCAGAAAAAAATGAAATAATTCATCTCTATTGAACATTTAATGTGTGCTATGCAGACGGCTGGGATTTATATATTGATACATTGGCTGATTTAATCCTTAGCACAATCTTTCTCAGTTAAACTTTGACAAACTGCCTAGTAGGAGCTTGGCCCCATTCTCTATCTCAGAAACCTGTTGTTTGTTTATAGTAAGTGCTAAATGTATCTTATTTTTGTTTACTTTTTTTGACATGACTGCCAGACTGAAAATTCCACGCAGTGATATTCACTAGTGCTAAGTCCCGTGTGCCTGGTACTTAATATCAACCAACCGTTCGTTCATTGAATGAAAGAAAGTACAGATGAAGAAATGATCAAGATGTGGCTTCTAGTAAGGGAGGGGAAAGTTTAAGAGCTGCCTCTGAGACAAGCTCTTCATCACTACCTGCAACAATCACACCGTCTCCTGTCTAATTATCAGCCAAACCCAATTGTCTTCTTCTGTATCCTGCCTTCTAGCTTCTTATTTGCACATATGCTTGTTTTGATATCATTGTAATCAGAATACCCTTATTATTTGCAATTTTACTTTTCTCACTTTTTTTGCACAATTAAAGTCTTAAATATGGCTACATAATAGCTTATCATGTTAATGTACTTAAATGTTCACTGCTTGATGTTTACGCATTTTTATTGCTCATTACTTATAAGTGATGTGTCACACGCATCTTTGTGTTACTGGCAGAGCTGAATTCTACTCTTTCATAAAAGGTAAACATTCTCATATTCATTTTCACCTTGAACATGCTTGACCTGAACTTTCATCCTGCTCACATAATTTAGATTTTTCTAAGCATGGCAAAGAATGGGGAAATTGCCGTCAGGGTTGTACAAGACATGTAGAAGGGTGGCATTTTGACTGTTCTATCTTACCCAAGTTGGTTCGTTAAATTTTTGTCTAATTTAGAACACTGGCAAATTGCAGTGTTGATTTTGCAGTTTTGATTTTTCCTCTTCCCTCCTCAAGTGAGCAGGCCTTTACTTCCCTTGAAGTCACTAGCATGATTTCTCTGTCTACAGCTGAAAGATAAAGTCTGACTGAAGTCCAGACTGAATTTCTAGGAACCCAGGATCTAGGGCAACAGATGAGCCCTTGTGACTCCTCTGGTTTGCCTTTGATCTTTCTGTGATGAGTCTCAGTGTAGTGATGTAGAGAACTCTTGGGTGCAGTCCTCAGCTAAACATTTGCTGACATTGGCATCTTAACTCTTTGGACTCAAGTCCTCTCTCACACAAGCTAACTATCTGCCTTTCTTATAGAATTGTCAAGATCATATGAGAGGATTTATATGAATGCACTTATGATACTCTAAAAGATACATATGTATGTGTATAAATGTGTGTGCAAAGTTAATTCAGTTGAGAAATACTTAAAATTCTGTATTTTAATATGTAAATGCGTAATACTTAACTCTGCATTAATATTTAATTTACATAATCACTTATTTGATAACTACTACTTTAATATTTAAATATTTTAACAGTTAAGAATGTCTATTTTAAATTTTACATTGTGATAAATACCTTTTTATCAAACTATATTGTATCTTTTTTTCATTTTTAATTAATCAGCCACTCGTTTACACAACCATTAATATATAATTTTGAAATTGCAACTTCACACTTTCATATGTGCCCATTTCACTATTGCATCCTTGCGATGCAACTGAATAAAAGAAATCAATTGTGATTTCTTGTGATTTAAAGAAATAACTGCTAATATTATATTTTATTAAGTTTTTAACAAAGCGAACTTAGAAAAACTGGAATTGGTAAAGTTGTCAAACGGATTCACAAAATTGGGATAAATATTATCTTCCTATCATGCCAAAAAGAGAGAGACAAAATGAGTAGGAGAGCAATAAGGGACTTTTATTCTCTTGTGTGTTTACAGTGTGTGAAAGCGAGATCTGTAAAGTGTTAGGGAAACTTTCAGTAGAAAAACATCAAAGGAAATTACATTTTAAACGTGGACCAGATGTAGTTTAAAATAATAAGAACAAAGCAGCTGAAATCTCCTGTTACTACTAAACTTCTCTTCGCCTCCCCCACCTCTCTTCCCAGCGATAAAGGTATGTTAATAATAATAAAGTCAAATTGACCCTTCTTGCCTTCTTTACACAACGTGGGAAACAAGTTACAACTCATTTTTGAGAAAGATCTTCACGGAATCCTCTGCCAAGTAGTTGGGGGGAGCGAGGGCGAGGTTGGTCAGCTAAGCCCTGGTCCAGTCCTGAGAGTCTCCTCCTCTGTACCAGGCCACTTTCTCGGGGTACAGGGCCCCTCCCCTGGGCGGCGAGTCTGGGTCTCACCCAGAGGGCTGAGGCTGGCAGTCAGGCGCCGGGGCGCGGGTGGACGCCGCAGCGCCTGGTCCCCGCAGCAGGGGCGGGTCGAGGCTGCAGAACTGCAGTGGGGCGGAAAAGGTCAACAGGGCAAATACTTGGAATCCACCGTCCGGCAGACTTTAGTGGAATTTTTTCTTCCAAGCCCACTTCCTCCCGCTCCAGTACCCCCACCTCTCCAGTCTGACCCGGGAGGTGGCAGCATTTCCACCTCCGCCGCCCCTCCCCCCACCCCAACCTCTTAGTTGGGGGCATGGGTCGCGGATGCCGGGTCCCAGCTATTCTGGGTACCGCGCAGGACCGGGGACAGCTCGAGTGCCGAGGGGGAGCAGGCGCACCCTGCGGGCTCAGGCGGGTCAAGCCGGGGAGGCTGCCTGGGGGAGGGGTCTCCGTTGCAGCAGGGGCGGGGCGCAGGGAGGTTGGCGGGGGTGTGTCCGAGGGGCCTGCGCGTGGAGCCTGGTGCCCGGCAGCCGAGCCGCGGACTCGCACTCTGCGGAGAGTCCCGCGCCGGCGGCGCCTTTCTTCCGAGCCACCCGAAAGGCGGCAGCGAGATGCGGGGCGGCGCGGGGGTCGCCCTCCTGGCCTCGCTGCTCTGGATTACCGCGCAGTGTCAGCAGAGAGGTGAGTCCCGTCCCGGGTTCCCCGTCCCCTGGCCGCCTGGGGTGACTGCGGGACAAAGCCAGTGGCCGCGCCGCTTCTTAGGTCTGTGCGCGCATCCTCGGTCCCCTCGGGCGGCGGATGGGACACGTGGGTTCCTCGCAGCTCTGCGGAGCGTCTCCTCGGGCTGCTCGGGAGAGGACTGGGGACCCGACCCCAGACTATTTAACTTCTTGTCTGAGCCTTCAGTTCTAAAGTCCGCTGACTCTTGGGTCCTACTCTTTGGCTTTTGTGAACCAGGACGCAGCGACCCTTACCCCGCTCCAGTGTTCTGTGCTGGGGTGGCTGCAGTGGGGCCTCCGAAATACGAAGGGGTGCACCGACCCCCCGCGGGCCCTGGCTTGCAGCCCCCGGCTGTCCCTGGCGGCCGTCCCCAGCCTGGGCGGGCTGGTGGAGCCGCGGCCGGGGGTGCCAAGCTGCAGGGCGCGCGCGGGGAATGAATGGAAAGGCGTCCTCCCGAGGCACCCTTTTGTCCCGCGGTGGAAACCTTGTCCCCGGACGGGAAAGGGAAGGCTGCTCCGGGCCGCTCAAGCCGTGGTCGGATAGCGGGGGGAGACCTGACTAGAAGCACGCCCCGGGCCGGCTGTCCCGGCAGAGGGAACCCGCCCCTCGGGCTGTGCACGGACGCGCCTTACGAAACCCGCTCTTTGTGCAGGTCGCGAAGTAACCAAACGGTCTCATTCCGCGCGCAACTTTAGACAGTGGTCACTGCCAGGTGAGGGAGCCGGCGAAGGAGACGTTACAGACTCTTCGATTGCCTGGGTGGTGTGACTTTCTTAGCAAGAGTTTTTGCACAGAAAGCCAAGGCGAATTTGCAAAGCTTCTGTCCATACCGAAAGAGGAAGAGACATTTTTCTTTCCCAGCTTCATTCCCCACTCTGCTCCTAGGATTATGTCTTCCCATCCCAGCTTGGTTTTGGTTAGGTGGTCACAGTATTTTTCTAAAACATCTTTATTTGTGCAACGCTGGATAGTGTGTGGCGACATAGTCCCCGCAAGTACACATTTCCTTCTTTAAGGATAGTGCAGGTCAAAAGTAGGGGGCCGGGGGGGATGCGATATACCCTCGTGGGAAAAAGTTTGTGTTCGGGCATTGTGAGGAGTTGTGAACTCTGCGGAAAGGAGACCGTCCCATTCATGCAGGCATTCACCATGAAAGCAGTGGACCGCAGCTGGCTACGCAGCTTTGAATAGCTGGGCATCTGCTGCGCACCGAGCCAGGGCTGGGGTGGAGGGAATTTACATAGTTATCCCTGAAAGAAAGGAGCTTGGCTTTTGGGAGACAAGGCTTAAGACTCTGCACTCCAAACTGGTTTCTATGAGCTTTCTGAAAGTGAACAAGTCCCTGTTCCCACAGGATGGGGAGCAAGCCGCTTGGCTCAGCTTTATTGTTCTAAGACATTGAAAGTCTTAGATGGAGACGCCTGCGTGTTTTCCATGCCCCTTGCGGTTCAACACTTGGTCTGAGTAGTTATGAATGGTGTTTGGAGAAAGTGGGACTGCATGGGGCTTTCCTGCTTTAAGATGCTGTGGAAACCACCCATAGCGGGAGCTTTTCAATGTTTCTCTTGATTCTATATTTGCCAGTCCTCACCTCATCAGCCATCACCCTTCCTAATAAGCATCTTTGAGGGAGTTTTGATTTTAAATATGTGTGTGTGTGTGTATAGTCCCATGTACAAAATATAAATGGTTAGTAAAAAGGTACAGTTTAGTCATAATAAGAAAATGGAATAATCTTAACCCACATCAGAGCTGAGCTAGCTATCTGGTACTAATATTTTTGAAAATGATTATTATCTAAAGCATTTTGCTTATTAGGAGTCCTCTCATTTCTGCAGCTTCTCTGGATTATTTCACACAGTATATGACCCAGTAGTTCAATTCCTCTGAAATGTAACCTGTTTAAAGTGAGCTAGTCTTAAATTTAGAATGAGAGGCTGTGTCTATAAAAATAATATTGTGTTAAATCCACAACTAAAAATTACATAGAATTGTAGTTGCTTCACAGGTTTGCTGATGAATTCTTCTGTTTTGAACAATTCTTTTTTCCCCTCTAAGTAAAAAAGGATAATTCTAAGCATGGGGTGGTGGGGGAGGGGGGAATCTATGAATAGGAAAAATATTTGTTCCATCCTCATAAATGATATAACACTCAGATTTAGCATGCATGTACTCCAGAGCAAAGTGTGTGTGCTTGAATGGATTTAAAGATGCATTTTTCTTTCCTGTGGCTGTATTCCCGAAGTAAGGGCCAATAAAAAAAAAAAAAATACTGATTTTAGCAGTTGGAAACAAGGATGTGTGTGATAAAAACATCAGTGGCCACCTCCTACATATCCTGTACTTTGACTTGCTCTTTTTCTCCCTTCCCCTTTTCCAGACACTACATATAAAGTCTACATCTGTAGTTAATCTAGAATGATGGAGAATTCAAATGCAATAAGGATATGGAATAAACCTATAAGCATATATGATTATGAATCAAATACTTTTATAAAATATTTTTGAGTGGGTAATCCATACACATGGTACAAATTTCAAAAGATACTAAAGGGTATCTGGAAAAACGGTAATATTTGCCTTAGTCAGCTTCTTTTGAGGCATTCCTACTTTTAGTTTTTTAGGTTTTTTTTTGTTTGTTTTTTGCTTTTTATTTTCAGTTTCCTGAATACCCTTTTAGAGATGTAACTCTTAAAAGCAAACTATTTGATGAAACCTGCTTCTTTTCTGATAGTTTATGGGAGGTCCTACTTAGGTACTTACAAACATGGAACAGAATTCTCCCCACATACAAACCTACATACTAAATGGGAGAATAATCAATTACCTAGTAAATGTATCTGCTTGTAAACTTTTTACCTCCCAACTCCTCTGGAATGTATTAGAACTGCGTTTTCCAAATCTTCTGGAATTTCAGAACGAGTTCATCAACTGATGTCATGACACTGCACTCTTTTAAAAGTATCACTTACTTTTAAGTAATGCAAGCTTAAGCAATATTTTATGCCATGAAGAACTACTTTAACATACTTTAGGATATTTATTATGCAGAGATGTCAAGTTTGGGAATAATTCTACTAGAATTTTAGCATAGTGTGTTATTAATTTTACCAATAATCATGACTTATCACTGGAACGCTCATGGTAGACAAAGAAAAACTTAATTTAAAAAAAAAAAAAATCCCCGATGAATAAAGCTAAGCTTGCACCCTAAATACAAGTTAATTGGAGACACAACCAGTGAGAACTCTTGATCTTAGACTTTAGTTGAAGTATTTAGTTCTATCCTTAGACATGTTTGAATAAACAAGATAAACTCTTCTCTGAAAAAAATTGTACGTATCTTATTTACTAGTTTGCAAGTAATATTTTTATATGTTTTACTTCTAAATGCTAAAGTGTATTCATGGACAGCTGAGTAAATAAATGCATTTTGAAATTAATGAGGAGAAAAAAAATCCTTTATAGAAGTAATTTAGTTAAGGTCATGAACTTGGGGTCTGTTGGAACATGCTTGCCAGGGAGCTATTTCAGCATAAAATGCCGAGTCTTGCTGGGCTCATTGTATTTTCATGTACTTTCTACTGAGGATGACAGTCAGTGGCCCACTAACCATATCCTAGCACAGAAACCTCCTCCTTGAGTCTTTGTTTTCTCAAGGCCATATCAGGGAGCTTTCTTTGGCTAAATTATTCCCAGTGATTCTGTATCTTGCTTGGGGGCAGGGGTAGACAATGGAGGCAGTGAGATTCCAAATCAGCCTGGTGGATAACATTCTTGCTAGGTAAGCATTTATCTCCTAGTGTTAATCCAGAAACCATGGGGTGGAAATGCATGATTGTGATTTCAGTGTTGTGTCCATTTGTTTTCCTTTTGAATTGACCATTTGAAGTTTGAATCTCTTCATTCCTGAAGTTATCTTTGAAGTCTGATCTCTCAGCCCAGCAGGCAGTGTGACTTAAAAATTCTTGTGCCAGAAAACCTCCTCTATTGCTGGTGGGAATGTCAAATTTAGATCAATGGGTATTTACGAAGAGTGCCATCTTTTCCCATTCCCTACAGTATTTCCTGTATTTTGTTCCATTCCTCTATAATTTCCTGCCAGAACCTCAGGAAATTCTCTCCAACAATAAAGATGCTTTTAGTAGATCATTTTCAGTTAAAAAAAGAGCACATTAGAAAGGAAAAAAACCTCACACCACAATGCTGATTATTGTATACCACATGTCTCCCAGCCTTTCATGATGACAGATTTTTATTCAGAAGAGGTGATTACCTGGTTTTCTGAGGCCCAATACAGGAATTCTGTCCTGCTCTAGGTCCCTCCCCCTTGTTTCCCCAATTTATGGCATACTCTCAGTTACCTTGGTTTCATCTTTTCCTCTTCTTTCTTTCTTTTTTTGGTATACTCATCCTCAAATAGTTCCTCAAAGGTCCCTGATTATTGTTCATGTTTTTGCTTTTTCTCCCTGTTGGTATAACAAATAATCACCAGCTATCTCTAAGTTATAACCAGGTACTATTTTTAGGCATTTTTTAAAAGATGTATTTATTTATGCATACACGAACTGGGGTACAGGCCAGAGGTTGGGGGGGGAGGTTGAGAGGATTCACCAGAGACAGAGTGGGGAATAGAACAGGCAGATTGACTGAAATACACTGTTGAGGGGAGCAGCAGGCGAGGCAGGAGAGGTCTGCTGTGCCATGTGGGTAGCTTCATGGCCAGAGTTTGAACTCAAGCTGCAGTGGCTGCGGACAGCTTCATAGGTTGCATTTTAACCTCTTGTGCCACCAGGAAAGCCCTATAACCAACTACTTTGAATAAGTGTGTGATGCCATCTTCCTTTTGTTCAACCTGGTCCTCTGCCAACATCTAGTACTGCTAAAGCACTGCCTTCATCACGGGCCCTTATATTTCATGGGGTCCCAGCACCAGCCCCCTGGCCTCTTATTCTGTATTC